GCAATACCACGATCCAAGTTCGAGTCTGGCCGGCGTTGCTGATTAGACCAGTTCAGGAGAAGTCGAGACTACAGTCCAGTCCAGTCGGGATGAGAATAACTTTTGGGCAGCTATAACATGTGAAATTCACTGAAAAGATCAGACCTATTCATGCGATTGTGGGCAAATTCAACTTTTATACATTCATCGCCTTAAAATAAATAGAGTGAATACAGCTTTTATTCTTTTGTACACTCGACAGTAGTTGCAAAAATGGCGTTTTTTCATTGGTTCTAGTTTGTGTTGAACTCGCTGCTATTTGGAGTGGAAGTGTGTAGTGAAGGTATTCGGAAATTGCTCCTCACCGAAGCCGACAATGGATCCCAGTTGACCAGCTATCGTTTGACTTTGCCGAAAGGTCGAAGAGGCTATTTCATATTTTATATGAAAGTACAAGATGGAGAGGTTTGTGTGTCGAACTCACCGAAATGCGACAGCTGATTCGTGTGATTTGACAGCATTTTTGCGTTTACCTCGACGCAGCCGCCGAGACATTCTCTCTTGTTTTGGGTGAAAGAGGGCTGATGTTTGGTTGATGAGTCGGTTTTCGAGATTGTCAACAGATCCTCAAACCGAGGTCGTCCGGAAGCGGTGGGCTCTAAAGATGCCCCAACAAACGGAGGCTCGAAGAGACCGCTGGTTTAAAAAGATTGGCTTGACAACCATAATCGGCGTCAAACAGAACCCATCAACTCACCGAGACAGCAACTCCATCTCTTGAAGAAACGACCGCTCGCGCTCCTCCAACTCGACCGGGAAGAGTAGCCGGAGCAGGCCAGTGAGGACAGAGTTGACGCCACGCTCTTCGAAAGCCAAGTACTGGCGAGATTCGGACAAATGAGCAAAAGCGGCCGAGTGAAGAGCATGAAAAAAGGAGAAGAGAAACTGGTTTTCGAAGAATTCCTTCAAGAATTTGTGTGTCACGACTGTCCATTTCCAAAGAAGCCTTGGTTGGAAGGAATTGGTGAATTAGTCTGGCTACGATCCTGAAATAACTGGGTTGTCGTGACTTTGATTTCATATAAAAGTGCACAATCAAGAGATTCGTAGGTCAATCTGACCAGAAGACGACGGCTAATTCACATTCTTTTGCAGTCGTGTTTAGCTTAAATAGAACCTTCAGGTTGGTGTAGCCCTGGATACATTCTTTCTTGTTTAATGTGAAAACGGACTGCCCTTTCATCCATCATTTGATGGAGTTCATCAGAGCTGGAACTCACTCATCAAAAAGGCTCCTGTTAAAATTAACCCAACAACTGATGAAGTGGGTCGACCTTGTTGTCGCAACTTGGTCTTGTTGTCAAGGTGACTAACTAGAAGGCACCTAATCCGAAGTCGTCTGTCATAGTAGTTGTCATGAGTCCCAGCATGAGACAGTGGACTTGGTACATTCTCAGACGTGGAGCATACCTAGTCTCGTCTCCTCTGGCACAGTGCTCGTGATTTCCAGCATTGGACCATCGGCCGGGAACATTCCAGAA